GTGTGTGTGTGTGTGTGAGAGAGTGAGTGAGTGTGTGTGTGTGAGAGTGTGTGTGTGTGAGAGAGTGTGTGTGTGTGTGTGTGTGTGTGTGTGTGTGTGTGTCCTGTCATCACACATTCAATACAAGGACATCTAAACTTCATGTTTGCCGTATTAGCTGCAGCATTTTGCGATTACAATCTTGAGGGCCAGAGTTTTATCTGTCCAAAGCGTTTATAAAATGTTGTCAAACAGGATTCATATATTTGAAACCTGCTACAGACACAAGGTGTTCATAAATAAAAGTGAGTTCAAGTTTAGAGTTTAACACAGATGAACATTTGAACGGAATGATTCATTGTATGCTTTTGTAGTGTCAAACTTCATTTTAGAAACTGTGTCTGTTTTCAGAACGAAAGGAAGTTTCAGCCAAACACAGTGGCATTTAGTATTTACCTTCCTAACAGAAATATTCACTTCAATACTTTCACCTGGGCATTGCTGTGCTTTGAGCAGAGTTGCGTTATGACTTCATCAAAAGGAAATTTTAAGGGATTTACAACAGCATCAGAATGGCGCAAACAGATTTTGAACTGTGTGAGTTTTCTGGAGTTTTACTGCATGTGGTTTGAATTTCACCGTGATGCTGTCAGACGAGCACTTTAGCTGTTTCACGGTGACACAAACACGTTCTCTTTATTTTATCAAGCAGGAATGTATTTTTGCGTCTGTCAAAAATGTTACTTTTATGCTAAACACTGTATTGGCCAAAGGTATGTGGACACCTGAGCTTAACTGGCTTGTTCCAATGGTGTTCAGGTTGGAGGTTTCAGGCCAGTCTAGTTCTGCAGCAGTGTCTGGACACACGTCTCTTTCAGGAGCTTGTGAAGGGTTCATGACAAAGTTGGAAACACAGAATTCTCTAGAATGTTATTGCATGTGTAACCGAAAGATTCATTTTCACTAGAATTCCTGGAATAGACAGACCTGTTAATTAAGAATGGGGCATCCACATATGTTTGGCCATAATATGTATGATGTTTGTATTAAATATTTGTTGTGTGAAATGTTTGGTTTTACCATTTCTGGTCATCAATATTAAATGCTGAAACAGAAATGTGACTTGTGATCACATCAGGATTTTTTTAACGATGATGATGGTATAGATTATATTCGAGGTTTTCATTTGTTTGCTGTGAGTTGAATATTTATTGACGTTGAAGATTTAGTCACTCCAAAGATACTAATGGTAACTTTAATATGATGCAAGTGTGATTTTCCAAAGGAAAGATTCTCCAAAATAAGAGTTTCATGGGATAACGGTAACACCTCCGCATAGCTTTAAATGCTTTTACAGGTTATTTTGAGGGAAAGTCCACTAACTTGATTGTTTTTCTTTTTATCATATGTACTGATAAATTATTTGTTGAGCTATGCATTATAAATTATGGATGTTTTGCTTCAAAAATAAAGCGAACTATTCTAGATTATGTGATTCTGTTTCTTTGTGTACATAAACACTATTTAAGCATTTCAAAACTTTACATCTCTGCAACGTTAGACAAAATGAAAATGAATGCATTTCTATTGTTTATTCATGTTTAAATTCCAAATGCAGCTGTAATAATGCATGGCACATTTTCATCAGCTTCAGACACAGAGATTGATTGGCTCTTGTGCCGGCAATCTTTTTTTTATATTGCACAATAACATCAGTAACCATGGCAACAAATGAGCCTTCAAGCACTATATACATATTATACAGATTTCAGAACCAACATGCTGCTTATTTTTTTCTCTACATGAATCCAAGTGTCTTTTTCCCCTTCCGGCTTTGGTTTTTCATCCAAAACATTACTGCATCACATCAATCCCTCAGTTACTCTTCATTTGTGGTTCTGAATAAAGTGATACGAAGGCTAAATACTGTGGAGCGATTGATATTGCATTTCTCTCTGAAGAGAAATCACTTACGTGGCTGTTCAAAGGCAAAGCAACATTCACTTACAAGCTTATGTTTTCATCCTATGCAAGAGATTTGAGGCAAGGCAACTCTGCAATATTTTAGGCAACTTCTAGTTTATAAACTAGTGTAATGTACCCAGTAAGTTCATCTATATGATGTCTCACATCATGATCAAACGGCTATTGCACAGCTACCCGTGTTTTAAAACAGTTGCATATCCTATAGCAAATGTTGTCTAGATTATCCCACACCGCCCAGTTAAAACAACAGGAAGGCATATATGTACAGCTCAAAAAGAAATTATACAGCACAAATCTAGAAGCAATAAAGAAACATCTCTGATTGTGACATCAGCAGCGCTGGTCCCACCAATCCCTGCCAAAGTTAGCCATCTCTAGTTCAGAAATCTTCTACACTATCATTGATTATATCTGCACAGGAATAACTGCACAAATCAATGACAACTTGAATTTTATATTCATTTTTGCAAATGCAGAAAATCACAAACCTATATATTCGCTTGTGAACTAAGTTTGTATATCTCTGTCATAAGCGACTGCCAAGACACCCAAAGCACTCCTACAGCATTCCTACAAGGTTGTTAAAATAGTGCTAGTAAATATGGGTTACTTGAAATCAGTGTACATACAGAAGTCGACATCAACAGCACAGTTTAGGCAGAAATTAGAGAAATTAACCATGCAAACTTTGGCATGTTTGGTGAACCTCACCTCACAAAAGAACAAGTGTACTTTATTTTTGTCGACCTCCATCATGCAAATACTAAACACAGCATTCCATTTCAGTCAGTAGCACTGGATAATGATGACAATATCAGCAATCGTACTAATACTAACAGTGGCTCAATATATGGCACAATGACACTTGATGAAAGCACATGAACTTATTTCACATGCTTTAGTAGCCATTTCGTCTCATGACACGAGTCAGCAGAGGTCAGCGCTCAGAATGGCTCGCATGCTGACCAGTGTTTTTGCCAAAAATCCCTGAGATACTCGAGGGAATTCTGTGGCAGTCTGTTTATATCTCAGAAAGTAAAGAATGTGTTTTCTTTCTCGTGGCAAAAGATAAATGTCTTCTCACAAACAGGCAATCAATAGGCATCTGGATTTTAACAGCCTACTGTTAAAGGAAAGAGGCAAAATGTTTCCTTTAGAAAGATTTTAGAAAGAAAGAGGGTGAGGTGGGTGAGTTAGAGGTGTTGACCGGTTGTCAGCTGGTTTAACGGGGGGCAGAAAGCTGAAGTCCCTCCCTGACACGCTTCTTGGCAGGTTGCTGCAGACCGGTTGTTTCCACGGCGATCGCAGAGGACGCAGGGGTCATGCGACCCCAAGCAGAAGAACCTGCGGACGCACCTGTGAAGACTTTACCTGCAGAACAGTGAAAGAGCCTACATGACCCAAATCAATCCTGCTGATTATCAGAATCACATCAGGGGAAGCTGAGATGCATTGCTGAGGTTAATACTCACACACACACACACACACACACAGAGTCAGTTCGAACATTTTGTAATGTTTTTGAATCATTTGTACATAATATTCTGAGTGTGTGATCAGTTGATTTGTCTGTTAGCACATGCTGCAGTGTTTATAGTGATGCACCGAAATGTTTCATTTATTCGGCTGAACAAGTTCTGTATGCTGGAAAGCATTGACCGAAACGGTGATGTTTAATTAGCGCTTTTCCAGTCTCTATTTCACTACAATAGTATAACCGTGTGGACGTTAGTGCTGGATTAACGCCACATTTACCTCAGGAAAGTCATTCTATATACGTAAACTCAATAGTCAGCTAAAAAAAAAAAACTCGACAGAAGCATTTTGTTAAATATATGCACAGTATTACATATTCATTATAGTTTCACTTAACCTGTTGTCTTCATTATTTAATGTACGTTTGAATAAATCTGTCATGAAAAGTTTATTACAGCCACTGTTTAAATGTTGATATTTCAACAACGAATTGGAGAAGAACCACAATAAAAACTGCCTTATGTGCAATTTATGTTTATATGCAACTCAGTTTGAGTGTTAATTATTAAATAAATAAAATTTTGGTTTCTGTGTTTCAGGAAAAAATTAATTTCGGTGCATCACTAGTGTTGTTTTATGATGCAGCACGTGTGATAAATCTCGTCCCTGTGTGTGAATGGACGAATCATGAGTAACTCAAGCGACCCCTGATGTCACATGACTGATCTCACAGAAGGAAGTGCTCAAGCAATGACGACACAAGCAGCGTGAGCTGAAACACACGCCACAAACCAGACTGTTACCATGGCAAAGAGAGGAAGAGGAGGAGCTTAGAGAGGACATCCTGAGCTCATTCTTCTGGAAACACTCAGAGAAAATGAGAGAAATAGAGGAAAGACAGAAGAAAGAAAGAAGGAGGTCGAGATTCAAGATGAGGGACAAACACGAGACAAACAGCACTGAACACAACCTTTCTGAGGTCAAACCAACACTCACCTCTAGATTCGCTCGTGCTTTCTTCAGCACATCTCGCGTCCGGGAAACTGTAAGACAGACGTGTTCTTTACAGCTCTGACTCTGATGACATCATTAGACTAAAACACCTTTGCTAATACACAAAACCACAACTCCAAACTCACTTTGACAAACCTCAAACTACTGAAACAAATCTAAGCTAATTGTGATTACGACGTTTGCCATAATCAAGTTTCAGCTTCTGAGAAATAACTGTAACACTTGACAACAGGCTGTCTGGACTCACGCTGGTTGATGATGAAGGTCTCCATGCTTTCTTTGGTTCGACTGGTGCAGCGCAAATGCTGGATTGTTCCCTGCAGAACCTCCTCCTGTTCAGCGATCCGCAAACGCAGCAACTGGATCTCCTCACGCATCGACTGCTCCTGAGAGGAAACAGCGCCACATTCAGCTCAATTCATTCACATTAACACTGCATTTGATTTTTAGGGCTCAATAAATGCGGTTCGAACCCTCTGAATGAGATGAGCGGGACCGTCGCTGCTCGGAAGCGCCGCCCGCCAGAACATCTTGAGCAGAGAGACGGCTTCGTCCAGAATCTGACACAAGGTCTTGGTGTCGGAGAGCAGCGTCTTCACTGTGCTGTAGTCCAGAGCCTGTAAGAGAGAAACACATGACACTGCTGTTTGCACAAGCGCTCTGATCTGTCACGCGTCTGAGCATCACCTTCCCTCCGCTGATCTCCAGCAGGGCAGAGCTGAGACTCGACCGCAGCGCCGCCTCCATCCGCTGCACCAGCGCCCGGCCCTCCATCACCTGCTGCTGCAGGGCGCTGTAGTCGTCCACGTGACCGATGGCGTGCCGCCCGTTACGATTCGCGAACGAGCCGTCCGGAGCTTCTCCTTCCAGATCCGCATGAGGCTCCAGTGAGTCTGAAGCAAAGACGGTTTTCAGTTCTTCTCATCAACCTAGTTACTGCACTTGAACATTCCTCAAACAGTACCATTAACAACTAGTTCTCAACCAGAAGTACTTCAACAGGTTCCAGGAGGTCGTTGGAAAGTTTATCTGGAGCTGCTGCCAGAATTGCTAAAACTCGTCACAAACAAGCGCAGGTTCTCATTAAAGCCATGCCTATTAATATAAGTTATATTTACATAGCACTTTTCACAATGCACACTGTTTCACAGCAGAATCATATCAATAATAATGAAACAGTGATATGAGCAGTTCACGGTTAGCAAAGACGCACACCGTTAGTGTTCACAGCGCTCTCCTCCATCTCTGAGTACGGCGAGTACAGGGGCCCCACGTCTCTGACAGGAGGAGAAGGAGACGGGTCTGTGGAGCACGGCAGAGCGGTTAGTACATCACAAAAACATCACGTTTATTCAAACGCAACATTTCTGGCAAACAGCAGGTAATTCTTGACATATTCAAGCACTTCTCAGGGCACATGCCAACACATCACACGCGAGCGTCATGTTTTCTAGTTGTTAAATGACACATGCAAGACACTCAAAGTGAAATCAGCATGTGTAAAATGTTACCGTGCAGAAGCTGTCGGCGGTAAAGCGCGTCCCGCAGCGGACTGGCCGGAATGATGGGCGACGGGCGCTGATCGATGGACTGATCCAGGTGTTTCTGCAGCTGAGCTCGTAGATCACTGTTCTCCTGAACACTGCACTCCAGCTGGGCCCTTAGAGCCCGGACCTCCACCAGCAGCTCCCGCAGCTCCACCGCCGGGCAGCGCACCTCACACACCAACCCTACAGCAGCGGCCGACAGAGAGCAAGCCTTTCAACAGCCTCAGTGCACCGACTGCATGACTAAATCAATACCTGATTCGTTTTGAGCAACTGGAAACTGTCAGTTGCTGATAATCTTGCCCTCCGCGGTTAGTGCTCAATATTCAACATCACCGATGTACATATTCACACTTCACATGATGATAGATATTGCACCGCAGCAAATCAGATTAGCGAGCGGCAGCGAAGGGCCTCTTTTACATACATCTGTTGTGTTTCACAGAAAAAAGAGACTCATATAGGTTTGCAACAACATGAGGGTAAATAAACCAAGCCAGCATCTTTTTATTTTGGATGTGGGGTGGATCATTCCGGTGTGCTTGCGGTGTCTCACCTGCAGCGGCGCTCTTTCTCACGCCACACACGCGGTCGTACAGCTGTAGTTCACTCTGTAGGGAGTGTAGCAGCTGTCTGCTCTCTGCTAACTGCTGCTGGAGTAAAGTCACCTCGTGCTGCAGTCTGAACACAGATCAGCAGTTACACAGCCTTCATTCATGTGTCACACTTATCAGTAAGAAACAGATCACAGTGATCAGAAATTGCCTATTGAAACAACTTTCTTTACATGAAGCTGTTCATATGGCTTCTCTGACCTGTTGTTGTGCTCCTGACTGTTTTGTCTGTCCTGTCGCAGCTGCTGGATTTGTTGGCTTTGTTCACAGTTGTGTGTCTGCAGCCTCCTCAACTCCTCCTTCCATTGCTCCGCCTCTAACTCCGCCTGCTGCAGACGGACACGCCCAGAAAGCAACGCCTCCCGGAGCTGCTCCTTCTCTTCACTGCTGTCTGCATCACACAAATGTCAAATTATTAACTCTCCAGGGTCCTACACATAGTGATGATCATTTTGAAAATACACAAGACTGTAAGATTAATGTGAATTAATGTGTACATTTTGCTGAAATACATATCCACTTTTAGCAGAGGCATTAAATGCATGTGATTTGTTGCACTTATATTTGCCAGTGTTGTCCACAAATTATGTCTATGTGGTCTATAGATTGATGGGCTGAGTAAAAGAAGAGCTAAACTATAATGCTCTCCATCGGCTGTTATAGGTCATCTAGTCAAGTGTTTCACAACCCTGTTCCTGGAGGCACAACAGTAAGCGTGACCCATTCATCAATTCATTCACCTGTCTACCTGTCGCACTCGTATTTGATATCGTCAGAGTTATTATAATAGTCTGGTCAGGTCACCTTTATTTCTATAGCACTTTATACAGTACCGATTGTATCAAAGCAGCTTTGCAGTGTTAAACAGGAACATAGTTTGTCAATAATGCAAGAAGACAACAACAAAGAGTCATTTTTCCAGCTAAAGTCAGTTCATTGATGATTCAGTGCTGATTCGGTTCAGCTCTCTTCCAATAGTGTCTGTGCAATCAGTCAAGTGTGAGTGAGTGAGTGAGCGAGCGAGCGTGTGTGTGTGAGTGAGTGAGCGAGCGAGCGAGTGTGTGTGTGTGAGTGAGTGTGTGTGTGTGATTGAGTGAGTGAGCAAGCGAGCGTGCATGCGTGCGTGTGTGAGTGAGTGAGTGAGTGAGTGAGTGTGTGTGTGTGTGTGTGTGTGTAAGTGAGTGAGTGAGTGTGTGAGTGAGTGAGTGAGTGTGTGTGTGTGTGTGTGTGTGTAAGTGAGTGAGTGAGTGTGTGAGTGAGTGAGTGAGTGTGTGTGTGTGTG